GGGGTAATGACCGTAGAAGATGAACATTCCCAACAATCTATATTGTAATGGCAATGATCATATTACCCGTTTCCCTATAAGGAAACATTCGGCATTCATTAACCGAGCAGCCAGTACTCTTTTCAAATCTTTCTCTTAAAATACTTCTTGGAAAAAAGTTTTCTCAATCTCAGTAGCTGTTATCAGTATTGTTTCCAGTATTGATAGGCGTTTCCTTCCTAACCTTTTCTTTGAAGTAGTGTGGAATGTCAACATCTTGATTATGTCATTATTTTCTCTTCTCTTAAACCCAGTAGCTGTTATCAATCTTTCCAGTATTGATGGGGCTTTCCTTCCTAACCTTTTATTTGAAGTAGTGTGGAATGTCAACATCTTGATTATGTCATTATTTTCTTCTCAAGCCCAGTAGCTGTTATCACTCTTTCCAGTATTGATGGGGTTTCCTTCCTAACCTTTTATTTGAAGTAGTGTGGAATGTCAACATCTTGATTATATCATTATTTTCTCTTCTCAAGCCCAGTAGCTGTTATCACTCTTTCCAGTATTGATGGGGTTTTCCTTCCTAACCTTTTATTTGAAGTAGTGTGGAATGTCAACATCTTGATTATATCATTATTTTTCTTCTCAAGCACAGTAGCTGTTATCACTCTTTCCAGTATTGATGGGGGTTTCCTTCCTAACCTTTTATTTGAAGTAGTGTGGAATGTCAACATCTTGATTATGTCATTATTTTTCTTCTCAAGCCCAGTAGCTGTTATCACTCTTTCCAGTATGGATGGGGTTTAATTCCTAACCTTTTATTTGAAGTAGTGTGGAATGTCAACATCTTGATTATCTCATTATTTTCTTCTCAAGCCCAGTAGCTGTTATCACTTTTTCCAGTATGGATGGGGTTTAATTCTAACCTTTTTTTTTGAAGTAGTGTGGAATGTCAACATCTTGATTATCTCATTATTTTCTCTTCTCAAGCCCAGTAGCTGTTATCACTCTTTCCAGTATGGATGGGGGTTTAATTCCTAACCTTTTATTTGAAGTAATGTGGAATGTCAACATCTTGATTATCTCATTATTTTCTCTTCTCAAGCCCAGTAGCTGTTATCACTCTTTCCAGTATGGATGGGGGTTTCCTTCCTAACCTTTTATTTGAAGTAGTGTGGAATGTCAACTTTTAATATCATTATTTTCTCTTCGTTCTATTCATTTTAGTTGTTGTTGATGTTGGTAGTCCTCAAACGACGTGGTTTCTGTTATATGATAAAGTTCTTTAACATATGTCTATATTTCTGAGATGAGGTATTGTACCTATTTACATTATTTACATTGTTCGGACTGTTGTCCCCATCTTTATTGCTATATATACGAGGTTTCGGCCGTTATACGATCCTTCGGGTGATATACGTTGGAATTTTCTTTTCTTTTCTTTAGTGCACGCGGGAGATTGTTCTAATACCATATGTTCATGCCTTTTTTTTTATATCTCAGTTTAATTCCCTTTATTAAATCTCCAAGTTTTTGTTCTGAACTCACAACTTTTTGGGTCAAGTCACATTTTGGATTACTCAATCAACCCATTTATCCACTGGGCCATGTCCTTGGAGATATAAATGATACTGAATTATCCAAAAAGGGCATGGCATGTGGAATTAGAACAATGTACTGAATAAAGGGTTTGGTTCGAAATTCAACGTACATCACCTGAAGAAGGCCGGAGCGTACAACAGCAGAAATGTAAATATGGCAATAAAGATGAGAACAACAGTCCGAACAATGTAAATGGTGTAAATAGGCACAGTTCTATGTTTGTGATTCTGTAGCGCCAGTCCACAAAGAAGGATGCTCTTTGCTAAGACCCTCAGAGAAGAAGACTTAATTATCTGGCCACACGCACCCACGCGCGAGCGCGCACACACACATATATATTGCATATAAGGGCATCAATTATTCTTTGATATATGGGAAACTGTAAAAACATTAGAAAAATTGTATAAAAATCCTCCTAGCCCTCACATTCAATGAAGCATGTACACACACACACACACACACACACACACACACACACACACACACACACACACACATATATATATATATATATATATATATATATATATACATATGTAGTTTACCCACTCTAAGCGCAGAAAATAAATCTCTTGTACGAATGCAAGAAATATATAAAAAAAAGCTTAATCGCAAGTCGTTGTGAGTATTTTTCACTGAAAGATGTATAAAAGAGGGATTGCTACCAATTACACACACGCACACACATACTCGCGCGCGCACACACACACTCACACACACATATATGCCTGTGTGTGATTTATAGTCACGGTTCCATAAAGTTGGTCTCTCTCGTCTTTCATATGCGTTGAAGATGGTGTGAGCATGAAACTCGGGTTATGACTAGGGCCATCCTTTCATAGGAATTAATGTTGTTAAGAGTTTTTTGGTCTATCGAGACAATCTAGTTTTCGAGCACTTTATTGAGTAGGTAGGTTTGCCTTTTGGCCTTTTTTTCCTTTTACAGTATTATCATTTTTGTTCGAAACTTTATCTGGATAAGAGTTTTAGGTTTCGGTGAGTAGTCCGTTGGTTCCATCAACGCTTTTGGTTCTTCTTTAATCATGCATATATATATATATATATATATATATATATATATATATATATATATATATATATATATGAATATGCTTATAAAACGTGTAAATTTCAGGAATAAGTTATTCCAAAAAAAAATTCGCTTGAAGATGGAACAGAGCTTAGTACTTAAATTCAATTTAATTCAAATAATTATATTGAAGTTTTCGGCTCTTGTTTTGAAACATGAGAACTCTTATGTAGTGTGTTGGAATCATATTTTTAAATAAATAATTATATTTATGCTCTACTTTTGTATCGAGCACTATTTTTTAAAAATAATAACAAAAATACTAAAGAACTTTGGATTATTTACCTAACGAGTTCTTTCCTATTTTCTATATAGTTTTACACACACACACACACACACACACACACACACACACACACACACACACACACACACACACACACATATATATATATATATATGTATATTTATATGTGTGCGTGTGTAGTGGATACATATATTTTAGTAGACATCTGATATTTAATCATTGAAATTAATGTTTCCCGGCATAGAAATTTAATTAAATGTAACCCAGGCGATTTGCGAGATAGTTTTGGATACATGAGAACACTCTCAATCGAAGGCTGTCTAAGCGGACTGGGTTACCCGACCTGAAGGTATTTTCAATCGTGTATATTTGCCTGCGATGAATATTTGCTGTATAGCCTTATCAGACTAGATGTCATGAGGGGTATATTGGGCTTTGTACATTTATACACCCCGGTGTCAATTTTTGGCTCACTCAATAATAACAACAACATCAGTAGTATAATTATAGTAGTAGTAGTAGTAGTAGTAGTAGTAATAATAATAATCGAGCTGAAAGCTGAGACAGAAGGCCTAATTATTGCAGCTCAGGACCAAAGCCTCGCAACCAGATTCTATCAGTGTCACATAATCAAGGATGGAACTAACCCGAAATGCAGGATCTGCGAAAAATATAAGGAAACTGTCGACCATATTATCTCAGGATGTCCGGAACTGGCAAAAAATGAATATATCTAGAGACACAACAAGTTAACGACATATATGCACTAGAAGATATGCAAGAAGCACAAAATCAAAACCACTGAGAGATGGTATTAACACCAACCAGACACAGTTACCCAAAATAATGACGTAATTATTCTCTGGGACATGCCAATTCAAACTGACAGGGAAATAAAAGCCGACAGACCTGATATCATTATAAAAGACAAGAAATTCAGGAAGTGTATCCTTGTTGTCATAGCAGTATTATCTGAGAGAAACAACTCCTTAAAAATTATCGAGAAATTGTCCAGATACAAGGACTGGAGATCGAGTTTAACAGGTTGTGGAGAATGAAGACTGAGACTGTACCAATAGTAATCGGAACACTGGCATTTGTGAGAAAATGAATAGACAATTTTGTTAACAGTGTCCCGTGTAAAATCAATATACAAGTTGCCCAAAAGATCGCCCTACTAGAAAGATCCCATATACTAAGAAAAGTGCTATCAATTAAATGACAAATCTCCTATAGGACCTAAGGACCATAGTTTGGACCCGGCTTTATAGGATTCAAAGCAGGAAACATTAACACACAAACAATAATAATAATACATTACGAAGAGCTTTATCTATGTAAAATGTGTGATCTTAGTGTCTTTTTTTACGAAAATGATCAGTGGGAAATGTCAGGAAGCCAATTCTGGCCTTAGGTCTCTGATTGGGACCCGGAAAAAATGTGTATACAACAGAAATCCAAGGAAATAATAATAATAATAATAATAATAACGGTACCGAAAATCATGCGAGTAAATTTCCTGGACACAGCATCTCAGTACAACAAAAGATTGCTTTGTGCGGAAATGCAAATATTATCCGTAAAACCATTTCCATGTAAACGAAACGTCCCAAATATGCATAGATAATTCTCCTACAGTGCCATTTTGACAAATATACTTCGGAAGGGACTTGGTAATTAGGCACTTAAAATGACTCTGGGAAGATGATGCCACACACAACAATAATACGGTGCTGGTCATCGATATATCTTATATTCTTATCTTTATAGATCTCCTGGTATCGATATATCGATACCAGGAGATGCATAAAGATAAGGAAGAGGAGGAAAGGTACCAAAGCTTTGAAACATGAAATACGACGTTTGGGGGGTTTAAGAAAGTCGTTCCTGTTGTCGTGGGCATCCAGTAACAAATAAAATTAAAAAAAAAAAAAAATAGAACAAAAACAAAAAACAAAAAAAAAAAAAAACAAAACAAAACAAAAAACACCCCCCCCCAAAAAAAAACAAAAAAAAAAAAAAAAAAAAATAATAACTAGGTAAAAGTGGGTCTGTGATTCGAACTGAAAAGATTCAGAAAACAGCACAGCTTGGGACAGCAAAGAATTCTGAAAAAATAAATATTGAAGGAGAGTGGGGAAGAGGTGACGGGGCATGTGCTCATTTGTTACGGTACAAGACGAACTTGATAAAAAGAAGATCATAATTTAGATACAGTTAGCATGAAAAGTCAAGAAGACTTGGTGTCACTTGATCTCAAGCGAGAATCACCTGTTTCTACTGACGTGAAATTTTCATCGAGTAAAATAATAACGCCTACGGCCATATCACGTTGAAACACCGATTCTCGTAAGCGTTAAGCCTGGTCACCACTGGCATGGGTGACCGCTTGGGAATACTTGATGCTGTAAGTTGAGATTTGCGCTTGCTGTAGTGGATAGTAACTCGGAATTGTTAATCGGAGAGCCAAGTTCCACTGCCAGTCGGGTTCGTAATATTCACTTACGCGTAAATACACTCGGGAAAATTCACCACTTCCCCCCAGCTATGGGTTAATTAGTAAGACTTGCATCAATAAATCATTATTATCTCCAAAAATTCTTACAGTATAAAAGTATTTTCTGGCTTTAAATAACCTGCAGAGGGTTGATAAGCCGTAAAAAACAAATCAATTAATCACCGAGTAAAATAATAATAATAATAATAAATACCGGAATTTTCATCGAGAATTAAAGAAATTAGAGAACATGGAACAATGTAAAAAATTCTTAGTGGAAGATCGATGGAAGAATAAGACGTAATCACATACGTATTTTAAAAGTAGCGAGGAATACTGCGAAAGGTACTGGAGATTTAAGGAGACTTGTTCACATTTGGAATGATAGCAACAACAACAGCAGCAACAAACTTGGAGTGTGTCTTAAAAAGCGACAACTAATAATGAATAAAAAGTATAGAGAAAACAACAGTGTATATATATATATAATTCTGTGGCTTCCGTTAGTCCGTCTGTCACACCCTCCAAAATAGCCATACATTGACTGATATAAACAGTTTGGGGAGAAGTGCAAATAGGTAAGTGGATACAAAGTACAGTTGGTTTTGTTAGGGCGCGTAGCTTAGTACAATAAATTTTCACTGTTTTTTTGTAAAAAATAAGTTTTATTATTTAACATACAAAATACTCCCAGAATTAAAAAAAACAAAACAATTTAATGATTAAAATAACAAATACTTATTTAATAACAATCGAATATTCATTTGTGCATATCTTTCCTTTAAGTTTTTATATAGATTTCATACTTGTAAAATATAGTGCACAGTAGTAACACTAAACCGAGTAGGGAGAGTAGAATTTTATAAAATTCGACAAAAAATGTTAGCAATAACTTCAACAATACTAAATTGTGAGAATTTCAACACGCGTGAGCAAAACATTCTAGTTATTTATAAGCTAGAATAGTGAGGAGAGTTGATGGGGGGTATTAATTAGACTTGTTGTCACTTGATCTGCCTGGTAATCTACAAGCGTAAAAACAAGACAAAAAAAGAAAAAAGAAAAAGAGAAATATAAAATAATTTAAATACCTGCAAAAACTTGGACGACAATCAGGAGTAGACGTTTGTTTTTCTGCATGTTTTAATTTTGGACGGCAAGCAGTAAGTTGATTTTTTTAAAAAAAAATTCTCTAACGTGAAGAGGAAATGGAATTTCGAAATCTTGCGTGTATAACTGCGTGTTTGCGGTGTCTGCCTGCGTGTTCCAAACACCAGGCCAGTTCTTTCCACTGCGTCCGACAGAGATAGAATTTTCAGCAGACGACACGAGCGGCTTCACCTTTATATATACATACACGTGCAACGCTAATTACGGAGGCGGGAACCTGATAAACGAAGAAGGTCTGGCGTTGTTGTTGAGAAGAGGTAGGTACACCCTCCGAAAATGGACGGCACGTGGGCACATGTTTTGCACACGCGTATATACATATATACATACATATATATATATATATATATATATATATATATATATATATATATATATATATATATATGTATATGTGTATATATATATATATATATATATATATATATATATATATATATATATATATATATATATATATATATATATATATATATATATATCGGAACGCATGCGTGGTTAAATGCGGTGCGCATCTCAATCGTCTGTTATTACTTTTATTCTTATTTTGTCACGAGAGACATAATGTCACCATAAATTTGTTTCGAAACGTTTTAGTGGCGTGGAAGGAGGTCATTAATTAAATGGTTGTACAAATAAACAGTTACTGACAGTAGTAAAATTGACAAAAATCTAATCTGTCATTAAACATTTCTACATTAAAACAAATATGGTGATATCAAACTTTTAAGAACGACCAAAGGCACACACACACACACGCACAGACACACAGACACACACACACATGCGCGCACACACACACATATATATTATATATATAATATATATTTTCTGGCTTTAAATGTGAAAAGTGTGTGTATATAAATATATATATATATATATATATATATATATATATATATAATTATTTATATATTATATGCGCGGTACTTATTAGAAAGCGCTCAATATCAGAGATAGAGCTAACATATTTGGTTGGATAGATGTGAGTTTGTGACCCTGGGTTTCACGCTTTAGCGATCGTCAGACAAAGCGTGAACGCAGGGTCACAAACTCACATCTATCCAACCAAATATATATATATATATATATTCAATGGCTATATATATGTGTGTGTGTGTGTGTGTGTGTTTCGGCTTATGAATCATTTGCAGGTTATTTAAAGCCAGAAAATATTTTTAGATTGTCAAAATTTTTTGTGGGTGTTGGGGGGGATAATAATAGTTTAGTGATACAAGTCTTACTAATTATCCCATAGCTGGGGGGTAGAGAGGTGGATTCATACATTTCCCAAGAGTATTTGCGCGTAAGTTAATATATAACGAACCTAATGGGTAATTAGAACCCGGCTTTAAATAACCTGCAAATGGTTCATAAACCATACCAAACGAATCAATGAATATATATATATATATATATATATATATATATGAAAATTTCTCCGATTTAACCAGTAGAGAAGACAATATTTATGAATATTCATAATTTCATAAATATTGTCTTCATTTCATTTTCATATTTGTCGACATGGTTCATATATATATATATATATATATATATATATATATATATGTATGTGTGTGTGAAAAGTGTGTATATATATATATATATATATATATATATATAATTATTTATATATTATTAAATATTTTTTGACGGGCCGTATTAAACATATGTCAAAAATGTGCAAATTTTCTTTTCATTTTTTGTTTGGAAGTAAAGTCTGATGATCCGCAGTCCTTTTAAAAGGGCTGTGGTGAAATAATTTATTACATGGAACCTTAAAGTGGTCTGTTTTTTTTATATATATATATATATATATATATATATATATATATATATAACTTTATAGGTTTCTGATCAGGAGTGTGGATTTGAGACCCGTGAAACCAGCTCTTAATCGCTGCTGTTGCCAGATCCCCCATGACCAGGGATGGTAACACCTGTTAGGGGTCCCAGCTATGGGCAAATAGTGAATCCCCCACCAAACAAAGATAAAACACTATGAAAATATAAACAAATACATTTGTATAGTAAAAATACCAGCAAGACTTTTTAATATAAAAATAACCAGCAATACTTATTTATAGCAAAATGACTAACAATAAATCTTATATGTAGTTGAAGGAACAAAATTGCTTTCAAAATATTTATATTTAGGCATTAAATAACACATAGAGGTTGATAGGCCACTAAACAAAACAAAACCAACCAACCAAACCATGCGCATATATATATATATATATATAAATATATATATATATATATATATATATATATATATATATTGTTATTATTATTATTTTAATACCTATATTCGGGCGGTGTGAAAATCACCGATAATACAATTTGTAAATTAAAAATATTATACAAACCGATATCAGGGATAAAATTCAATAAAAAAGAGAAAAGACTTGTTTTTTTTTTACAATAAAATGTCGTTTTAGCCAGAGTTATCCTGATGATCCGTTAGGTGAAACCTGGGTAGGTAGGTTCTGGTTCACTAGGACATATATATATATATATATATAAAAAATAAACAAATAAATATATATATATTATAAAGAAATATATATATATATATATATGTGCATATTCATGTAAATTCATACATACATCTACAAACAAACAAACCTAACTTCATAATACCACAATATCACCAAGGCAAAAACAAACTATTAACCATTAAATAAAAATAAAATATTAGATAAACGATAACATGATATAATCAAATATTTAATTTACTACATAAACATTATAAAAAAAAAAAAATAAACGAAGGAAATGCATATGCAAAAAGCAAAGAAATATTCTATAAACACAACCAATCATAATTCATACTCTATAAATAGATAAGCTAACTTCACCATTTAAGCACTAGTTTATTAATAACAAAGCACAGACATAAGTGTACATGTGCCTGTGTACAAACGTTTATACTATATATTAATTCTCTCTCATGAATATCTCGATAGGTGTGCACAAGCGTATAAATATATATATCAAACAATAATAAATAAAATTTTAATTATATATATATATATACCAAACCAAATAATAGAAATAATTTGACATAAAAATATTCATCATTTAAGCATTAATATAAGTTATTTTTAAAAGGAAAAACGGCTTTAGCTTAAGAAAAAAACTAGAACGCTCAAAAAGAAAAGAAAAGAAAAACCGGATATACATAGGCAAGTTTAGTTTAGGAAAAAAATTGAGAGACGAAACGCGTGCAAAAAAAGAACACAAACAAACAGAGAAAACTGACACAATTGTAATACACAAAAAAAAGAAAAAAAAATATTAGCAGTCAATTGCTGATACTCATTAAAGATGGACAGACGGGTCTGTCTTCGAAAAGAGTCGGGTAATATCAGTCAGCTAAGGACAAACTTTTACTTATATTAATTCTCTCTCTCTCTCTATCTATATATAATATATATATATATATATATATATATATAATTATATATATAAAAATACACG